TCAAAGGAAAAAAAAAAAAAAAAAAAAACAAATCTTCTTCTTTTGACCATAAAATTTATCGAGTCATTTACCAGGAAAAGGAAAAATTACTTCTAAAGTACGAGGTGAGAGTGTGTCATTAGGCTATTCACTTGGGGTTACATCACTAGTGGTTAAATTTATAACTACATAAGTAGTGAGTTTTTTCCTTTTAACAATAGTGGTGTCGGACCTTTTAAAATATTTTATAATTCACTATCAGACATATGTAATCCTTCTGACTTGTATTCACCGGAAAAGTTCATTGGGAGTATTTCAAAAAGATTCGAACTCTCACCCTCCTTAAATAGCTAGTGGTTAAAGAGTCCCGAACACTTGTTTAAAAGTTAAAAATTTAGTCCCTTGCCATTAGGAATGGAATTCTCACTCTATTGTCATCCTAACGAAATATGAGTAGTTTCTTTTAGATTACGAAATATATGCAGTGCTCTCTGGTTCACTCCGGCATCATTATAGAATATAGTGTGCTACATATTTTTATCTATTTATTAAACTAAATTTTCTCTAATTTCAATTTTAATTCTAAATTACGAAACATATATTACGAAATTGTTGTTTCTAATTTCAAAAGAAAGAATGATGGCGGCAAAAACAAAAGTCCCCAAGAAAGGGTCCCTTCATCTAACAAGGAGCTGCTTAAAGCTTCAGCCATTTAGGCGTGGAAATAAAGAAGAAAATCAGGAGATGCATAGCTTTCACTTTATGCTAATAAAATGGATTGAAAATGTGCAATTTGGGCATGAGTTGGTGGAAGGTAACACCACAAAAAGCCATTTTGTCTACTGTTTGTTATATATATATATATATAAGTGACATTTTTTTCTCGTAACTTGTCTTTGTTATTGTAAACAAGTCTACATGTCTGTGATATAGACGTACATATATAGAAATAGTTTTTTTTTTTTTTTTTTTTTTTTTTATCATTTAAAGACACAAAGGTCTAAAGCCAAGATGACAATACAGACACATAAAGTCAAGTCAGAAAAGATATACAAATCTTGAACCAAAGCAAATAAATGAAGAACATGCTTCAGATTTGTAGAGGAAATAGAGCCCAACACTATACAAACGGAACCACCACGAGAGTAAGCAGCAAATTGAAAAAATCGAAAAATCTGACCAGCAATACGGCAACAGCTCCAAAATTACAACCATAAATAAATATAGTTGTGATGTCATTCATTTATTACAAGACTAAGTCACTAATGGCTTCTATTTAACAGGTCATCACGGTATGTCACTTCTTATACAGCTGTTAATTTAAACCATAACCTAACGATGAGGGTTAAAAAAACCAAAAAATGTCAAAGTCAGACCATGATCCGATTCAAATGCGCGTACGGTGGGTGATCCGATCCATTGGGTGTTTGTTTTCATATGCAAATAATCAATAAGTTAACAACAAATCTTAAACTATATAAATATTCAATTCTTTCACATTTAATGTGGCATTGGAAACATAATTTGACCTTCCTAAATTAAAGAGAATTAAACTACTGTGCTTTTATTTTAAAAACTAGAGAACCATTTTTAATTAAGTTATAACTGATTTCATTTTACAACAACATCTAGTTTACTTGGATCCATTACTAATATCTTTAATATTGTGTTGAAATTCGATACAATATAGTGTAGTTGTTCTATTATATCTGACGATTTATATATACATATATTCACGTATGTATATTGTGAATCGTCTAATGTAATATAACGCACGAACATGAACATTTGTTTAACTGTTGGTTTGTTTATTCGTTCAAAAGATGGGGAGAAAAAGAATAAAAGAAGCAATTTCTCCTTAATCAAACAAAAGAAAGAAGAATATTCCAAAGATATTTATAATATACTTACATACATACATACATACATACATACACATATATATATATATGTACGTGTATCAACTCACATATTTGTAGCTATTCTTCTGATATTGACCATAGACTTTAGTGTACTTTTAATTAAAGAGGATTATCGTTTAATTTTTTACCCTAAGGAGTTGGCTCAGTGGAAAAAACTTATTGGGTACTGGAACCTCATTAAGTTTTAGATCTCAAGTTCGATTCTTTTTATGTGTGAGTAATTTTTTAAAGCCACGACTGCGAACATAGTTCGAGTTTTACCCGATTCGTATAAAGGGGTCGCCTTATACGGGTCTCGTGAATTAATTACGGCAAAGTCCTAGACATTTTGATTAAAATAATAATAATAAATAAAGGACTGTCACATTCTTAACAAAGATTACGTGATTAAGACCCAAAAGTTCTGTCTAAAACACAAAATTCAGCCATTTTTTGGCGGTAAAGAATGCAAGTTTTGTGTTGGGATTCGATGCAGTACTAATTGTACAATATAGGTGTTCTTTTGTACTGGATGACCTATATTTATGTATACTCATATATATATATATATATATAGCTATTGTTCTGGTACTTAGCATAGACTTTAGTGTACTTTTAATTAAAGAGGAGTGTCACATTCTTAATAAAATTATGTGATTAGATCTTAATAAGACTCGAAAGCTGTGTCTCATCTAACGCAGAAAATTCAGCAAATTTTTGGCGGTAAAGGAATAAGGAGCAGTGTAGCTTTCGATGTCACCATCCATGAAAGTAATCGCTTCGAACAATGTCAATTCATGAAGTTTACTACTCAATAAGTGGTCCACTCCAATTAACCAAAGCATGTAAAAATTGTTGTAAATGTATAGAGAGACCAAAGATAAAATTAATTATTGACCGACTTGTTTCACAAAAAATGGTTACAATTACATACATGATATAATTATATATATTCACACATATATGTTAGTTTAATTACTAGACGCTTTGTTTAATTGTTAAAAAGATGGGAATAGTCGCTTAGGAAGCAAATTAATAGTTGCTTTGTTTAATTGTTAAAAAGGTGGGGAGGAAAAAAATAAAAGAAGCAATTTCTCCTTAATCAAACAAAAGAAGAAAAATATTTCTATGAGGAAAGATATTTATAATATACTCATATATATATATATATATATATATATATATATATATAGGTATTGTTCTGGTACTAACCATAGACTTTAGTGTACTTTTAATTAAAGAGGAGTGTCACATATTTAAAGCTGTGTCTCATGTAACACAGAAAATTCAACCATTTTTTGGTGGTAAAGAATGAATAAGGAGCAGTGTAGCTTTCGATGTCACCATCCGTGAAAGATAAAATTGTTGTAAATGTATAGAGAGACCAAAGATAAAATTAATTATGGACGGACTTGTTTCACAAAAAAAAAGGTTACAATTACATACATAAATATATGTATATATATATATATATATTCACACATATAGGTTAGTTTACTTGCAGTAGAATTCAATTTGTATTAAATTAATATGAAATTGATATTGAAAAAAAAATGGAATACATTATCTGGGGCTTACGCGTATCACTTTCAATCTAATCTTTTTTATTGGACTGGCACAATCGAATATATATTATATTAAAAAAATGTTTATTTTCTTTTTCTGAAAAAAACACATAACATTACCCTTCCAAGTGTGAACGTAGCATGAGTCACTCTATTAAATGTCAAACGATTCCACCGACACACCTTTTTCTTTTTCATTTTTCTCATTTCATTTGTTTTTGCGTTTTTTTTTTTTATATAGGAAAATTCTTTGAAAGATATTCTCTTTTCACCCACTAATAAATACACTTATACATGATCTAAAATTTGGAAAAAAAAAAAAAAAAAAAAAAAAAAAATTGACGATATAAAATTATATATTATTTAGAATAAGACTGTGAATACAATATGCAATAGAATAATACGATCATTAAATAATCACACTTAAAAAATATTTCATTCCATGTGAAGCCGTTATTATAGGCTTCAAAGCTAGTAGATGAATTCACTGAAATACATGTGTTCAATCATTTAACAACATAACTCTTCCCATGGACTCATACATTAAATGCATACATGCATTTTCTCATTTTCATTTTTATTTATTGTGTTTTTTTTTTTTTTTCCTTACAGTCTTTTTCTTTTTTTGGTGAGGAATCTCCAACCTAATTTTGAGTTTGAAGTAATCAACAACTCTAAAATCATATGGGAAATGAAATCAGTTTGATTTTTTCTTAAGAACAATAATAATAAAATTAGGTTGGTTGAACTCATCAACCCAAGAAATATGTTCAAAGTGTCCAAAAAAAAAAAAAAAATTAGAAAAAAAATAATAATAAAATTAAAAAAAAAAAAAAATGAAAAGCACAACCAAGAACAGTTGGCGCTGAATACTAATAATTGGTTTTATACGTTTTTTGATGAATAATTTTCTTTGTGTGATTTATATTTTATTATTTTTATGCTTTTGCTCTCAAATTTATCCTTGTTCCTACTGGCGCTCTATATGACTTAAACTATAGCCTAATTTATTGCTACATTTCCAAAAACAAGATTAATTGTTTATTATTTAGTTTGGCTTAACTTATAATCAACCTATTTTGTTTAAATTTTAATTGGAAAATCTTTAATGCTCTTAAACTACTAATAAATTATATCCTCACTTTATTCCCAAGTAAAAGAGATTATAACAGCTGTAGGGCGGTGCATCTGCAGCCAACTCAATCCTCTCAATGCTTTCCATAAAAGCTGAAAAATTAAATGGAAAAGAATGAAGAAAAATAAAGAGATATTTAATTCCATTAATATATCTATGAATTTTGAGTTATATACTCATTAATTATACTTCCAAGTAGTAAAAAATTCAAACTTTTAAGGTGTAAAGAATTAAAAGAACATAAAACACTCCAATATTCCAAATTATTTTCTTAATATAAATAATTAATAACTAATAAGAGTTAAAATTATAATATATAGTATCAAATAGAGAGGGAGGGAGAGAATTAAAGAAACAAATATCATAAACCCATACAATGCAATGATTATATATGGAAGAATAAAATTAATCAGAAAACAATAAAAGAAACCCATTTTGTTTTGGATTGATCACTCCTTTATTAATACAACAAATTTAACAATTATTAATCCACATAATTCCTATGTTGGAGAGGTTCAAAATAAAATTTACAAAGTAAAAATCCTCTCCTTATTCATCTTCTTCAACGTTACTCTATAATTTGATGAACAAGGCACGGACACGATGATATCACTGTGTTGCCAGATCACTCATCTACGCGCCGCCTCATCACCACCACCAACACCACCATCATATACAGAGTCTATACACTTCTGCTGTGTTTCGAAGTGCCGATACGTGCTTTGAAATTTCACTCCGAAGAAATTGAGTTTAATTTCAGTGCTTTCAAACGCAACATTAATCTTCGTGTAAACTTTCTCAGGTTCTTCTTGGATTGTCCTCTCTAGCTACTAAATAACATGTGTGGATGAGCTCGGTCAAGATCATACATAGCGAGTCCATAACACAATTTTGATGATATCTTCATCTTCAAGAATCAAATGAAAATGGAGGCTTTAGGAGATCGTAAGGAGCCCAAAGCGCGTCCAACGGGCACGGCCGGCTCGCGTCCAGCCGAACCCACGGCTTCCCTTTCCCACTCCAATGCAGAAGACTCACCGGACCCGGATGCAAATCCCGGCAAAGCCCGCGAAAATTGTCCCCGCCGAGCCCATGCTGGTTCCACCTGTGATTCACCGGAGCTATTTTCCCGGCAAAAACGAGCAGAAATGGCGGCAAAGACCCCAGCTCGTATATCCTCATCCTCTTCTGAAGCTCCATCCATTCTTCTATCTTGGTGGTGTAGTCCCCGGCTCGCCACCGGTCAAGATCAATCACCATCACGCCGGTGTTGAAGTAACAAGCCTTCCGATCGGAGAAAGTCAACGACAGGGAAGGGTTTGACCAGAAGGTTGGTGTGAAGTAGAAGGTGAAGTTGGCATTGCAGTATTCGGGGGCGGCGAGGACTGAGTCGCCGCCGAGCGGCGTGGCGGCGAGCTTGGCGATGTCGTCGACGAGGACGAGGTCGGAGTCGAGATACACCACCTTGCGGACGCATAATGGGATCAAATTGGCCAAGTAGCTGCGAGCGTAGTTGAGAGGGCAGTCGAGTGCGGACCGGATGGAGGTGGAGATGAGGCGGGCCACCGCCGCGTCGTCAAACCGGTAAACTCTGAAGTTGAGGTAAGGAAAGGAGGCGGAGATGGTGGCGCGTAGGAGGGACGCGTTGGCGGAGGCTGAAGCGGAGGTGACAAAGTGGAAGATTATGTTCTGTGGGCAGGAGGAGTGTTGGAGGACGGAGAGGATAGCCGCCATCGAGCCCCGGATGTAGGTGGCGTCGAGGGTCATTGCCACGTGGATGGCATTTTCCGAACACAAGAAGTTGTTGTCTTCGTTGTCGTCATTATCTTCGTTGTCGTCGTCGGTGATGGAGGGGCAGTCTTGGGAATTGTAGAATTGTGGGGCTTCTCGGAATTGTTGAGAGAGAGTGGTGGCAGCAGCAGTGGTGATAGTTGAAACGGAGGAAAATATGAAGAAGGAAATGCAGAGGGAAAGGAAGAGAAAGGAACGGAAAGATGGTTTAGGCATGATTTGGGGATGTTAGAATTGGAAATGGGAGAAAAGGGCTGCTGGGTTTTATAAGAGAGAGAGAGAGTGTGTGTGTTTGTATGTGTGTTTGTGTGTGAGAGAGGGAGAGATTTGGTTTTGATTGAATTTGAAGTTTGGACACGGTTTGGGTAAAATAAAAAATAAAAAAAATAAGGGAGGAATAGGTGGCTGGACTGCAAAGGGGTAAAGGGTAGGGCTAGGTCAAGAATTTTCAAAGGGAAGTGTTTGGTTGGATTGATATATAGGTGTAGACAGAGAGTAATTGTTTTCTTACTTTGGCCTTTTTTTGAAGGGACCGCTATACTTTTGTCATTCAAATAATTCGAAGTAAAAAGGAAAACACTAAAACGCATCCCAAACAAGGGTCCTACGTGCATGGTGATGAGGAAAGTTCAAAATTAAAGTAAAACAACTTTAGCTTTTATGGTGGTAGTAAGTGGGGGGACTAAAAACTTTCGTTGGAGTTGTTTATGCTCTTTAAATTCTTAATGGTTTACAGCTTATTACATATGTGTGCTAGTCATAACATCATTCCCTTGGTAAAGATTAATTTTTGGTAGAGATTTGACATTTGATTTTTAATTAAGTGGGTCAAAACTTTGTACATCATGATAAATCAGTGGATTGATGGAGACACGATGATGGTACCACCGACGCTAAAAACATTTTGAAGTGGACGTAATCACAATAAAAAGCGGGAGAGTTCATTGGTGCACCTCATTTTCAAATTAAATATTTGAAGTTAACTTCTCTACTTTTCATATACGTACGAAAAAACAATACGGAAAAAAAAAAAAAAAAAAAAAAAAAATAGTTATATATATATTCCTTCTAATTGGTTATCAAGAAAATCAATGTAAGAGCATTCATAATTTTGTGACGGTCCTATTATTTCCTAAATTTGTGATGGCCTCGTTAAATTTTCAATAATTGAAAGTAATATTTGGCTAGTGGAAACTAGAGTGAAAGGGGGTCATTTACACACACACAAAATAAAATAAAAAGAAAAAAAGAAAAAGACTCAACCATATGTACGTGTTTTTGTAAGTCGTCTCCTTGCATGGTGGCCCTCCAAATATTACAAGATTAAAAAAAAAAACTTCTAACTAATCAGAGTGAAAATTATAACATACCCCTCTAATGATTTTATGCTTAGTTTGATACATATGAATGAAAATTGAATGGAATAGAATGAAGTTGGGAATGGAATGAGAATGCTTATTTAGTTGCAAATATGAAATAATGTTAAAATGAATTGATAGTCACAATTCTAAATGGTGGTTATGGAAGACAATGATGGTGATGGTGGTGGAAAGCGGTGGTGGCAATGAATGACGGTGGCGGTGGGGGTGGTGAAAGGCAATGATAGCATTGGAAGGCGATGGCGGTGGCGACGGTGGTGGTGGAGGAAGTTGGTGGCGGAAGGCGGTGGAGGCGGCGAAGGTTATGGAATGCGGCAATGGTGGTGGAGGAAGGTGGTGAAGAAAGGCGGTGATGGCGATTGAAGGTTGTGATGGTGGTGGCAGAAAGCGGTGGTGGGCTTTAGTTCATAATCAATTAGTAAGGTTATTATTGACCTTTTGCATAACAAACATCTTAAATTTTTTTTTATTTTTTAAGATGAGAAAGATAGTACACAGCAAAAGATCATTAACCAACTATCATTATATTCGTGTGAATTTAATGTTACTTGGTCACTGGTGCACAAGAGATTATTAAGGTTAATAATCATATCCAACATTTTTTCCTTACCTTTCATTTTAAAAAATAAAAGAGATATATCTTTCCATCACAAAGTCCTTAATTAACCATGTTTGATGTATAGTGTGCAAGATGTCATTAGTGCGCGTGTTAATATTTACACACACACACACATACGCGCTTAGCTTAGTAATGAATCAAATAAACGAGGAGTTATTTAACATTTTTTTAAACGGGATGAAAAGTGCATGCCATCCTAACAAACAAAATGAAAATGAATAGAAGGTCTCGCCATTAATTATTGGACAGCTTTTTTAGGTTGTGAAAAGTAAATTTGACATTAATGGTTCATCTGGATCCTTTATAAAGAATGGGAAATGAAAGCTTATGAGTGGGAAGAGAAATCAATTGTTGACTTAAAAACTCAAGCACAACCTATGTCTCTAAATTTAAATTAATTTAAAGCAAACGTTTATTAAAAAAATGGTCCAAGCTAGGGTTATATATATATATACACACACATATATGGGTAGTGCAAAATTATTCAAATGGCGTGGTTGGTTGATGCTTCCTCATCAAAGTCACAATCTGTATGTTACTTTCCCATTGTTGACATATCACTGTCGGTGAGAACTATACTTGAGCAAAAACACTTTATACATAGGCTTCCAGATGAGGGAACTGTCGCTAATTTCATCATTAGTGAACAATAATCTATTGTGTGTGTATATATATATATATTGTATCCTTTGTTTCAAGTCTAAGCTTGTGGGATTAAACTCAATTAGGTGAGGGACAGTTTTGGAGGTGCCAAACAAGGCACTAGTAAACAACTCATGGGGATGGACTTGTTCTTATTAAAACAAATCAATGCATGCCTCATGCTTATCACATGGGCCATTTTAGATTAGGAAAATCTTGATTTCACATTTTTTTCATGCATATATATGTATATGTGTGTGCATTTGGACCATGATTTGAATTCGGACAAATATTTATGTAAATCGGTCAATTCATGAAAGTGTGTAACTGTATCAAATCTTAAAAATAGTTATGAACTGGTCGATACGTCGTGTATCGACCGATACAACCAACTATAATTTAGACTGCTAAATATCCTCTTCCTCCTACATTGAAATTTTTTTCTTTTTTTTGGACTAATGTATATCCTCTTCCCCCTACAATGAAAAAAACAAAAATGAAAAAAAAAAATTCAAATTGAGTAACTTAGACATACATCAATGTGATAGTAAAGAGACCATTTAAGATGATATTATGTGGGATACACTTGATGGAATTTGTTTATTGGTCGTTTTTCATTAGAATGATTAAATTGACTTATTTTGTTGGCTTGAGTAACATTATTCGAAATGAAAAGAAAAAATATTTATAAAGGCCTACTTGGTTAGAACATTTTTTGATTTTTCAAAAATAAAAAATAAAAAAAATGTACAAAAATCTGCTTGATAGTTTTTTAGAACTATATTCTGAAAATTTAGTTTAAAAATGTATATTTTTAGAAAACCGTCGTATAGTTCTCTCAAAATAGTACTTAAAATTTATTTTTCCAATGACAAACCAAACATACCTTAAATTTTTTCTCTTTAATTCTTCAATTGAATTAATAAAGAGATTCAAATCATTTAAGTCACTCTTAAAACGATTTCAAATCCACCCACTTGCCTTTTCTTAAATCATTAAAACTTTGGCCACCCTACATTACAAGATTAATTTAATTCACACTAATCTGTTCTTTTCCCACTTCTTCAACCTCAATTACATTAAGTATTTTAGCTTGAAATTCAAAATATTATAGTCTTGTAATCAAATTAACTTGTAAGTAAAGTTGTTCTCTTAGTCATATGATACCTCCTGTTTGCCCTTTTGATAATGACAGAACACTGAAAGACTAGAAAGTTGTAGCCAACCAACCATCCTTGACCAAAGTCCAATACACACAACCAAATTTTTCAATCAGAACAGAAACCCAACCCATATATATATATATTGATGATTCATTGTATCTAAGATTTGCAATTACTGAAAGAGGGTATTACCTACCATGAATGGGTTATGGGTAACTATTCTTCCCTCACACATCAACCCACAACTGTGCCATGCGTCTGCAACCCTCTCCCACGGTGGAAAACCTTAAATGGCTCGCCAATTTTTGTTATGACAGTGTGAGTAACTTTAATTTTAGTTCCTGCATGGGCTTTAATTGTATTCGGGTCGCAATCGTATCAGTTTGAATTGATATGGTAATTAAACGTGTCGTGTTCAACCAGACGACCGATTTATAACTTGATTAATTTGTTTTAACTATGTCAAATAAATGTGTCGTGTTTGTGTTAAAAATGACTCGTTTAAATAAGCGAGTCATATTTGTGTCAAAAATGACTAAAACGTGTTGTGATACTGTTTCATATCCCATCAAGTTTTGACAAATTTATTAAACGAATTATACGTGTCATATTATGTTATCCGTGTAATAACTATGTTGTGTAACAGGTTATACTTGTCCTGACACGACAAGAACACAACACGTTAATATGATTCGAATACAACATTAAGTGGATCTAAATTTGGCTCAATTATATTTGGATAATAATTAAACGTGTAATGTTCGTAATTGACCCAATAACTCATTTAAATCCAATTAACTAAATGTTTCATGTTCTCATTAGAAATAATTCGTTTTGTGTCCATGTCCAAATAACTTAAACATGTTATTTCATGTCATATCAAATGTTGACCATCAAACAGGTTATTATGTGTGTCATGTCATGTTAGCTCATAATAATTTGTATCATGATTGTGTCAAGATTTATTCACATGATTAATAATTGTATTATGTTCGTGTCAACTCTTATAAAAGGTTACATATGTCCTGACACAAAACAAACACGAATTGTCACCCTAGTGAACTATAAACTCGAATCATATGTTACCCATGTCCTTACACGACACAAACACGAATTGTCACTCTTAATAAATCGTAAACTCGAACATCCTGGATTCAAGTCTTAGTAGGCACAAAAACTTCTTTTTTTTTCCTAATTTGTAATCACACCACCCTCTAAGAAATTGTTTACATTCAAGAGAATTCAAGCTTTAGACCTGATACTTTTTAAAGCACAAGATCAAATTCTTATTAATTTGAGTCAACTCTTTAAAAATTTACAAAAACTTGCCTACGCATGGTTGCCCACATTCAAAATTTACCTTGTAGTACTTATAAATTCAAATGGTGAATGATCGGGAGTGTTCCACGTAAGTAAATAAATAAAACCTTACTTTAATTTTAGTTATTTTATCATCACATACGAAAGTAAACTAGAAAATGCAAATAGAATGTGTGCGTTACATATGGATTGATTGTTACAAAAGTAACTAGAAAATGGTTATGGATAGATAGTGTGTGTGTCTGTGTGTTTGGATAGTACCCAAGAAGA